CTCACCTCAGCCTCCCAAAGGCGCGGGATTACAGGCTGAGCCACCAAGCCCAGCTGCATAAAATAATTAAAACTGTTCAATTTTAGTTAACTTAATAATTTTAGACAGGAATCAAATAAAAAAGCAACCAACAGTAACAATATTTTGTGTTTAAACTTTGAGCTCTAGAGAAATGAGCAATAATCTACCCATCATTTTAGCTTCAATATAAATAATAACAATGAAAATGAATGTGAATTTACCTTTACATCTTCATCCAGTTTCATAATCTTCTTAATACGAGCCAGTGGGAGTTCCTGTACTCGGAAATCTTTCTGAAAAGAGCAACAAGGGTGCATAAATGGTGGGAACAATCAACAGTGTGGCAATAGGAAACACTCTGATTGGCTTAGACCCTACCTTCAGAAAATATGACAGGAGAGGAGGTACTAATGAAATGAAGAAAACACAAGCACCAGAGCAAAATTTTTCTTTACTTAACCTATCCAGAGCTTCAAACAATCATTAGGTTCTTTGCCTCAGTGTAAAATAAAGATTCAAGTACATTTTTTTTTTTCCTAAGAAAGTTTACCAGTCTGCAACATGCAGATTAAAATGAGATTTCTGCTTCCAGGGCATTCCTCTAAACTGCCAGTACTTTCTTCCATGTAGTGACTATATGGGCAAACGCCACCAACACCTGACCACAGTGACCCACTGTTCTTTACAGGTGATACTGGCCATTCCTGATGTTTGCACTAATCTGACAAGAGAAATCAGATTGCCTTTCTCATCACAACAGCAATAGCCTTGTCTACAGAATATGTTTTGAGTAGGGGTAGCAGGGAATGGAAAAAGGATGAGGGTGAATTTATCAGTTGCCTTTTAGGAACAGCCCTGCATTTTTATCAAACAGGACTGGGGTAGGGGAAACCACAAACTTCACTGTGGATAGGATTTAGGAAAAAGCTTTTTAAAAGACCAGCACTACTCAATTATATGCAATTTAAGCTCTTCTGTTTTATTTTGAAACTATTGGTATTTAAACACATGCCCAATGTTGGATGCAATTCTAGAAATAAAAATCAATTTCAAGTTTCAGAGCTGCAATGAAGAGAAAGGTGCAAACACAGATAATAGCTAAAATCAGCAAAATCTCTACTGGGACTAAGTGTCAAATGATTGATTCTATAAGTGGTCTGAAATATGACTCACTAAACCCAATATGCTCACCTGGGAATTTGCATCATCACATTATGAAAGCAGCTATTTATTTGAGATTTGGTATAATTAACAAGTATAAGTGAACTTTCTTTTCCAAGACCAACAGAAAACCTTAAATATATGTCCAAGAAGGCATCTTGGAAAAATATTACCAGTCTTCCCAGAATCTATTTTATTATTACAGAAGGAAAAGTGACTATTAGGATAAAATGTACATTAAGACATCTAATTTTTCCACACAAACTCAGCAAGCTGCTTGGCTATCACTCAGCTCTACAAACTTCAAGCACCAATTTTTCATATTTTCCTTTTCCAAATTAGGTATCAACATTTTCCATGAAGTCTTTACTAAAACTAACCCTGGAGTGACAGAGGCTACTAAGTCCAGTTTGTTAAAATTTCACCAAAAGGAGACAGCAGGACATATTTAATCTATTCTTATTTTTTCTCCTCCTCTTTAAGTTACTCATTTCAGTAATTAAACGAATAGTGAACTTAGGATGCCTAATACTGTGCAAAAGACACAAATCTATTCCTACCTTTGAAGTACTTATAGTTTGTCAGAGACAATCATATAAAAACATTATAACCCCTATCTAATACTAGAAGGGAAGAGTAGAAAATCCCACTGGGGCTAACAGGAAGGAAATAACCAGCTGGCAATGTAGGGCTAGAGGGTGAGAGAGCGGTTGGGAAATGTTCCACAGAGGGGATGACATCTGGATTGTGTCCAAGGGATACTAAGAATTTGACTGTTGAAAAAGTGTGAGCTCATAAACAGGTTCTAAACATTGGGCACGTGAGTACAAAGGCGGGAACAACTGATGACAGGCACTGCTAATGTGGGGAGAAGGCAAAGGGGCACAAAACCATCTACTGGGTACCATGCCCACTACCAGGGGGAAAGAGGACTCACTAGAAGCCCAAACTTCACCTGCACGCATTTACTTATGTAACAAATCCTCATATATACCCACAACTAAAATAAAATAAAATGTGTGGGAATGTTATTCAGACAGAGAAAACAGCAAGCATAGAAGCACAGAGACACAAAAAATATAGCCTATTTAAGTTTTACATGTATGACCTGAATATGGAGGGGAGAAACAGGAAAGAGAATGCTGGATTGGGGCCAGATCCTGAAGAGACTTTTTAAAAAGGTTTAATCACAGAAATCAATCATTGGCCTTCCTTCTTGTGTAGCATATCACCAAAGATGATGATGCTACATAGACAGGACCAAGAGACTGCTAGGGATGACAATTCCTTTGGAAGTCCTCCCGGTATGATACAGCACAAGATTCTGACCACAACATTTAGCTCTCTTGCAAGTGTGCTCTCATTTGGTTTGGTTGTTTAATATAATTTCCACAAAATTGTTCCACGATTACTTAGTCAAAGCCTAAATCTGATTTAAAAAAAAAGAAGAGCCGGGCTCGGTGGCTCAGCCTGTAATCCCGCGCCTTTGGGAGGCTGAGGTGAGTGGATTGCCTGAGCCCGCGGGTTCGAGACCCGCCTGGGCAGCGAGACCTCATCTCTACAATAAATCAAAAAATCAGCCGGGCATGGTAGCACATGCCTGTAATTCCGGCTACTTGGAAGGCTGAGGCGGAAGGATCGCCGGAGCCCAGCAGGTCGAGGCTGCGGTGGCCGGGAGCAGCCACTGCACTCCAGTCTGGGTGACAGAGTGAGACTCCAACTCAAAAAAAAAAAAAAAGAAGACCTCCTTTCCCAACTTGAAAGAGTAAAATATTACTTTAGAGGTTCTATGAGACTATTATTTAGTCAAAAGCAACAAGAAAGATTAAGGATAAAGAAATTATATCATTGCCACCTTGCAGAGGTATAAAATGAGGTAGAAATTTGAATAAGCTCTGCTTTAAAAGCCTCTCACTTCAAATCTTTTGTGAGAAACCACTTTTTCATGTTCCCCAAACCTTGAGATTTCAAGGGACGATGAGTGGAAAGAGGACTCTGAGGTATGAGTGTGGGGTTCATCACTGCTGACAATTGCCTAGCTTTCTGTAATCCTATCCTAGCTTTCCAGTCATATGTAAGGGTTTATGATAAGCTTATTGGAGAAGGGAGCCCCTCCACTATCAGCAGCTGAGGCCCACTAAACTGGCTTTCAATTCATGTCCCCAAGTCACTGGCAACTATGCAACTGATGTGAATAACATTTAATTCCCTCTTATCCAAATGGAAGAACTGATACATCTTTTTTCCTACTTTTGCGAGTGACATCAGTAAAGCGGAAAAGCAGGTTCTCTCTCAGAATACTCTCATGCTCCTGACTACAACCAAATAGCTACATTAAAAATGCTGCCAGCTAGGCGTGGTGGCTCACACCTACAATCCCAGCACTTTGAGAGGTCCAGGTGAGAGGATTGCCTGAGCCCATAGGTTTGAGATCAGCGTGGGCAACTTGGCAAGACTTCATCTCTACAATAAATAAATAAATAAATAATTAGCCAGGTGTGATGGCAAGCGCCTGTAGTTCTAGCTACTTGGAAGGCTGAGGCAGAAGGATCACCTCAGCCCAACAGGTTGAGGCTGTGGTGGCTGGGAGCACATCCACTGCCCTCCAGCCTGGATGACAGTGACACTCCAACTCAAAAAACAAACAAAAAAATGCTGCCATCTGAAACTTCTGAGTTTCAAGATGAATTCAAGTCTGAATTCACTCAATGAGAGTTTGAAGCCAAAGAAAAGTCAATGGGTCTCAGGCTGCACTAAGGAACATCCAGAGTTTCAAATAATGATGAGAAATCTTTTCCAGGCCTTCCTCATCAGGCATTCTGGCAAAGACAAGATTCTAAATCTCTTGAAAACCTTAGAGGCATGTTAGAAGCACCTGGGAAGCTTTTAGAAAAACAAGATGCCTGAGCCCTCCCTCAGACCAACTGAAGCAGGAATTCTAGAGGGTAGAGTTCTGGCATCGTGTGTTTTGAAAACTCCCTGGTGACTACAATACAAATGAAGGTTAAGGATCACTATTTTAAAGCCTTGATACTCAGGGTAGGCGCAATGGTTCATACCCACAATCCCTGCACTTTGGGAGGCAGAGGCAGAAGGACAGCTTGAGCCCAGGTGTTTAAGACCAGCCTAGGAAAGACAGTGAGACCCCATTCTACAGAAAATTAGCCAGGTGCTGAGGCTCATGCCTACAATCCCTGCTACTTACAGGCTGAGGTGGGAGAACTGGTTGAGCCCAGGAGTTAGAGCTGCAGTGAGCCATGATCAACGCCACTGCTTTCCAATCTGGGTGACAGAGAGAGACCCTGTCTCTTAAAATAAACTTTAAAATAAATAAATAAAGCAAGCCTGGTTGGCAGAGCAAGACTGTCTCTTGAATAACTGAATGAGTGAATGAATGAATTCCAGCCAGCCAGAATGACAGAGCAAGATGTTTCACAAATAAATAAATAAATCAAGCCTTGCTACTCAAAGTAAATTATCACCTGGGAACACAAAAGAACTGCAGAATCTCCAGCTCCACTCCAAACCTACTAAATCAGAATCAATACTTTAACAAGATCCTCCCTCATGTGGTTCACACAGACAGTGTAAGTTTGAGAAGTACTGCTCTACAGAAGGACTCATCCAGCACAGGACTTGTTCTATAACAGTCCACCAACCTTCACCATGACTGTAAAAAAAAAATTCTTATCTGATTTGATTGTAATGTTAGAAGAGTCATCACCTAATTTGGAGGCACTGAGGAATGAAAAGATAAAACTGGCCGGGCTTGGTGGCTCAGTCTGTAATCCCAGCACTTTGAGAGGCCAAGGCAAGTAGATTGCCTGAGCCCGCGGGTTCAAGACCAGCCCAGGCAACTTGGCAAGACCTCGTCTCTACAATAAATCAAAAATTAGCTGGGCATAGTAGCACGTGTCTGTAGTTTCGGCTCCTTGGAAGGCTGAGGCAGAAGGATTGCCGGAGCCCAGCTAGTTGACACTGGGATGGCTGTGAGTGTGCCACTGCACTCCAGCCTGGGAGACAAAAAAAAAAAAAAAAAAAGAAAAGAAAAGAAAGAAAAGATAAAACTGCCAATTAAAAGACAGTGACCTAGGCATTAAATTAGTTACCTGAAGGCTGAATGGAATGCAGGGAATAAGTTAGTAAAGGATTAGGTTTTTCTTTTCAAAATTCAATATAGTTGCCCCAACATACCCCTAAAAAGACAAGTTAGCCTTCTCTTCCCCACTTTCAAAGAGGCTCAGTGGGGTAAAACTCAATGCCAGGATGTCTGTTACTTATTGTTCTTGGAGTTCTGCTGAGCAGGAATATAAACCATTTTACACAATCACTCTGGTGCAATCGTTTTGATACGGTTTTTAACTAACTTCAATCCCAGCTGAATACCACCTGGACAATTATAGGGCTTTTAAGAGTGATGAGAGCACGCTGAGATGAAAGATAAATTGCTTTTGCAGAACTCAGACCAAAATGACTAAAGTCAGTGTTTCCATCACATCATGAAATACATCTAGTAAACTTCAACTAACTTGTTTTTGGAATAATCTATGTTTCGGTCTTAGAGAGATCACAATACCTTATGAATATCCTCACAAGTTTTATTTATGTTTAGACAGTTAGTAGATTTTAAAAAAGTATATTAGACATTTTGAGGTGTCTAAGAGGCTCTGACATATCTAAAGAAGTCTAGTTTTAACTACTGTTGAGTTCTGGAAAGGCATAGACTAAATACTAAAATGTTTGGCCATGTTATACAGGGAGAGATGCAGTCAGAGAAGCAGATGCCATCACATGGTGTAGTCTTGAGCAGAGAGGAAAAATAAGAGTCATACAAAGGGGAAAAAAACCTACCTTGACTTTATTGGTTTGCATTCTCATTCAAATTTGGAACTGATGTTGCTTTACACTAAATGTGAAGTGAAGGAGTCCAATTCTTTCAAATATTTATTGTGCACCTACTACATGGCAGATATTGTTCTAAACATCTGGTATAAAATACACAGCATGGTAGAGGTCTAGGAGTCTTTTTCAAGAGTACACAGGAGGAAAATTTTAGTTGGTCATCAAGATAAGAATGATTAAAGACAACTTGCTCTTTATTCTTGTTTACCCACAAAACCTGAACCAAAACTGAATTCCTCAAAGTAATCTTCTTTTAGCCTCTGATACACTGTATGTATAGGTACTAAAATTTGGTCAACCCCACAATCTGCTCTGCTGGCAATCAAGCTTGAAAAGCCAAGGGGTTACAAATCAAAACCCAGGGTCTCAAAGAGATTATTTGTACATTCACACACATCTCAGCACTATTCACAATAGACGAGGTGGAGGAACCCAAATGTCTATCAACAGATGAATGGATAAACAAAATGTGGCATATACATACAATGGGGCATTAGTCAGTCTTAAACAGGAAGGAAATCCTACCACATGTTACAACATGGATGAAGCTTGAAGACATACTAAGTGAAATAAGCCAGTGTCACAAAAAGTCAAACACAGATTTTCCTCCATTTACACTGGGATTACATCCTGATAAACCCATCATAAGCTGAAAATATCCTAAGTTGAAAATGCATTTACTATACCTGACCTACTAAACATCACAGCTTACCTTACATGTGCTCAGAACACTTACATTAGCCTATACGTAGGCAAAATCATCTCACATAAATCCTATTTTATAATAAAGTGTTGACCATCTCATGTAATTTATTGAATACTATACTGAAAGTGAAAAACAATGGTTGTATAGGTACTCAAAGTATGGTTTCTACTGAATGCATATTGCTTTCACACCATCGTAAAGTGGAAAAATCTTAAGTCAAACCATCGTAAGTAGGGGACCATTTGTATTGTATGATTCCATTTATATGAGTAAGGTATCTAAAGAAGTCAAATTCACTGAAACAAAGTAGAATGGTGGCCACAGTTGTTGTTTAATGAGTACAGAGTTTTAGTTCTGCAAGATGAAAAAATTCTGGAGATGTGTTTCACAATGTGAATACACTTAACACTACTGAACTGCACATTTTAAAATGGTTAAGGTGGTAAGTTTTGTTATGTGGTTTTTACAATTAAAAAAATAAAAGCCCAACAAAATACAGAAAAGTTCAGTGCTGAGCTTAAACCTCCAAATTTTATTCGGTTACTTGCCTGATCCTGGATTGACGTCTCTGGACTCAAGCTGATGGACAGACTTGCTGCAATGGTTTGGTCCCACCACACCCCAGGAGGGCATTAGTTTTACACCAGGCTGACCCTACCACCAAAGCCAATATGCTTACCTGTGAAATTATGCTCTGTGCTCCGACAGCACTTTGACTTTTACTGTTTCAGGAGTCATCACTATGTGTGACTCAGTATTTAATAAATACCGGTGGTGCCAAAGAAAATGCATACACATTTTAAAAGGTGTTATCTATTTTTACTTTTAGTTCATCATAATCAGAAGTGTCTGGCACTGATGGTAACCACTTTGAGCACCTCTTGTAATGGCAGAAATCAAATGTGACTTGTATTCATCTTTTGTTATTGGTACATATTGAGTATTACAATTTTAATACAGTTTTTCCTTTCTTAAAGTGTGTACACATTTTTTGGCACCCTCTGTAAATACTGATTAATACCTATGGCTGTAATTACTAGATGGCAAGTTCCTCAAGGGCCAGGGTTATAGTCGATTCTTCTCAATCAGTGGTTCTCAACAAGGGATGATTTTGACCAAGGGGACATTTGCCAAAGTCTAGAGACATTTTTTTGGTACAAGTGGGGAAGGATGCCACTGGCACCTAGCGAGTAGATGCCGGGGATGCTGCTAAACATCCTGCAATGCACAAGACAGTCCCTCACAACAAAGAATTATCTAGCCTAAGACATCAATAATGCTACTGCTGTGAAACCCTAACCTAAGTGTATCTCTTTTTTTTTGAGTCGGAGCGTCACTCTGTCGCCCAGGCTGGAGTGCAGTGGCATACTCATGGCCACCCCAGTGTTGACTTGCTGGGCTCAGGTAATCCTTCTGCCTCAGCCTTCCCAGTAGCCGGAACTACAGGCTTGCTACCACACCTGGCTAGAGATGAGGTCTCACTAAGTTGCCCGGGCTGGTCTCAGGCAATCCTCTCGCCTTGGTCTCACAATGTGCTGGGATTACAGGCTTGAACCACCGCACTCAGCCTAAGTGTATCTCTTAACATCTATAGAGTGCCTGGCTCAAACAGACTTTTTATTTTTTGGAGCTGGAGTCTCACCGTGTCACCCAGGTTGGAGTGCAGTAGCATAATCACTGCTACTGCAGCCTCCATCTGCTGGGCTCAGGAGATCCTTCCATCTCAATCTTTCAAGTAGCTGGACTACAGGCATGTGCCACCAAACCCAGCTAATTTTTTTGATTTTATTATAAAGACAAAGTCTCACCATGTTGCTTAGGCTGGTCTCAAACTCCTGGGCTCAGGCAATCGTCTTGCCTCAGCTTCTCAAAGTATTGGAATTAAAGGTGTGAACCACTGCACCCGGCCCATATTTGTTGTTGAATAAATTGCCCAATAGTTTTCACCAAGTTCTAGAAATTTGGCAGGGCACCTAAATCAGGCCTAAGAAATAAGTTTCAGCTGGGCTCGGTGGCTCAGCCTGTAATCCCGCGCTTTGGGAGGCTGAGGTGAGTGGATTGCCTGAGCCCGCGGGTTCGAGACCCGCCTGGGCAGCGAGACCTCATCTCTACAATAAATCAAAAACTCAGCCGGGCGTGGTAGCGCATGCCTGTAATTCCGGCTACTCGGAAGGCTGAGGTGGAAGGATCGCCGGAGCCCAGCAGGTTGAGGCTGCGGTGGCCAGGAGCGGCCACTGCACTCCAGTCTGGGCGACAGAGTGAGACTCCAACTCAAAAAAAAAAAAAAGAAAGAAAAGAAATAAGTTTCAGCTACTGAAGGAAGGTGAGATCTCTGTTTTTCTACATTCCTAAAAGACATGCCTCACATTAAACTACCTCTAAGTCAAAGCATCTACTATACACCTACATGCCTAAGGTAAGCCATTAAGATATAAAGAATGCCCTGCTAAGTTACCTCACCCAAGCTAAATTTTATTTTCATTTTCCTCCCCAAAGGTCAGGAGTGAACTATGTTTTTGTAAATGTGCTTGAAATTTAAAATGTTTTAGGCTAAGTTTTGGGCTAATCATTCCATAGCCCTTTACATTCTTTAAAAATTTCTCATAAAAACTTCTCATTCATCCTCACCACTGTTAAATTCCGAATTTCTTCCATGACACGAGGCCAGAAGGACTGTAGGCTTTGCTGGGCATCACTGCTGCTGGTACCACCAAATCCTCCTTCTGTGGACATTTCGACAACTGAAAATAAACACATAAACGAGACACATTAGAAATAATAGTCAGATTTTCTGTCTAGGTTAGTTATTTATATCTTTCTTTGTGGGATATTTTCACTAACTTATTCAACTTTTCAATCTGATAAGGTATATAATTGTACTGAAAAGATTTTCTTTTTTTGATTTATTTTTTTTTATTTTAAAGATGTGGGATATAATTCAGGGTTAGGTATACAAATGTCAAGAGTTCCAACTAGAAAATCTAAATGCAGCTACCCTTGTTGATGAGGTAAAAAGATTTTCAACACAAATTTAAATCTTTCTATTTTATTTATTTATTTAATTTTTAGTTGGGGTCTCACTCTGTCACCCAGGCTAGAGTGTAGAGGCATACTCACAGTCATCACAGCCTCAACTTGTTGGGCTTAGGCAATCCTTCCACCTCAGCATTCCAAGTAGATGGAACCACAGGCACAGACCACCATGCCTGCCTAGCCTAGTATTTTGATTTATTGTAGAGACAAGGTCTTGCCAAGTTGCCCAGGTTGGTCTCGAATCCCTGGGCTCAGGCAATCCTCTTGTCTCCGCCTCCCAAAGTGATAGGATTATAGGCATGAGCCACAAAAACATTTGAAAGAAAGTTTTTCCTACACCACAGAGACTCAAAGAGTTCCAACTAGAAAATCTAAAGTTGCTAGAAGCCGGGCTCGGTGGCTCAGTCTGTAATCCCGCGCCTTGGGAGGCTGAGGTGAGTGGATTGCCTGAGCCCGCAGGCTCAAGACCCGCCTGGGCAACTTGATGAGACCCCCATCTCTACAATAAATCAAAAAATTAGCCAGGTGAGGTAGTGCGCGCCTGTAGTTCCAGCTACTTGGAAGGCTGAGGCGGAAGGATCATTAGAGCCCAGCAGGTCGAGGCTGCGGTGGCCGAGAGCGGCCACTGCACTCCAGTCTGGGCGACAGAGTGAGACTCCAACTCAATAAATAAATAAATAAATAAAAATAAAGTTGCCAGAAATCCTAATGTGAATCAAGGCTTTTAACTTCTCATGGGGGTAGGGGTAGAGTGAAGATAGTACTCTAGTGTCCTAGTCTAGTCTATAATTTTCAATACCTATTCCTTCCAAAGCTTTTTCAAGTTCTCCATGGCTTCTCATACTCCATGCCATAGTCTCCAGCAAATATATTAGGGGTCCCCAATGATTACTATACAGAACTGTAAACCCAAAGTCTTAAAAAATAAGAACCAAGCTGGGCATAGTGGCATGTGCCTATAGACCCAGCTACTTGGGAGACTGAAGCAGGAGAATTGCTAGGTCACGGGTTTGAAACCAGTCCAGGCAACATAGCAAGACCCCATCTTTAAAAAAAAAAAAAAAAAAAAAAGCCAAGTTTATTCTTTTGTTTTAGATCAAAGTCCCATTTCTCTAGGCCTACTGATAATTATTATTCCTTCTAATCTCACATACATCTGCCTCATAGGATATAAAAGTGCTAAAGACTAGGTCAATAATTGAGTAGGCAACATGAAATCTGTAACTAAAACTACTTCCCAGTTCTTTCCTAACCTGAACTTTGTTATCAGGCACATGGTGAACACAACACACCAGCAACTAGAAGCTTTAAAGATAGCTGAAAGCCGGGCTCGGTGGCTCAGCCTGTAATCCCGCGCCTTGGGAGGCTGAGGTGAGTGGATTGCCTGAGCCCGAGGGTTCGAGACCTGCCTGGGCAACCTGGTGAAACCTCATCTCTACAATAAATCAAAAAATCAGCTGGGCGCGGTAGCACGTGCCTGTAATTCCGGCTACTTTGGAAGGCTGAGGCGGAAGGATCGCCAGAGCCCAGCAGGTTGAGGCTGCGGTGGCCGGGAGCGGCCACTGCACTCCAGTCTGGGTGACAGAGTGAGACTCCAACTCAAAAAAAAAAAAAAAAAGATAGCTGAAAAACAATGAAGAATTCAAATTAGGAAAGAGAGAACAGAGTCAGACCCTACATTTAGTCAACTACTTTGTGATGGAGGAGGAAATTTAATAAGGATCCCCACATCAGCTGTAACTGTAGAAAATAAGGTTGAGCATTATCCGAAATGCTTGGGACCAGTGTTTTGAATTTTGAAATTTTTTCAGATTTTGGAATAAGTTTGCATTATACTTACCAGCTGAGCATCTCAAATCTAAGAATGTGAAATTCGAAATGCTCCAACAAGCATCTCCTTTGGACATCATGTCAGGACTCAAAAAGTTTCAGATTTCAGAGCATTTCAGATTTCAAATGTTCAGATTAGGGATACTCATCATGTATTGTAATGTCTTAAAAGATTTACAGGAAAGTAAAAAACTCCAAAAACTCTGACAAACACTTAAATGCAAGAAACAGTTTAATTAAATGCAAAGAATGAGAAACTTAGTGATCTCTTGAGAATTTCTATTCTGTGGAATTATTTGAAAAGGTTCAATATGCCAGTGATGGGATGCTGGTGGAGAGCTCTGTGAGGCATTAAGAACTAATTCTGAGGGACTGAAAGAAAAGCACCAAAGCCAGGTGTCACATGACCAAACATGTAACTTTCCAGGCTCCATGTGGATGCATGCTGGAGAGATCACTATCAGCAGAGTGAAATGGAGATGGATAACTTTAGATTTAGCCAGTGAGGATGTTCAATTCGTTCTTAAATTGTTACTTGGGATTGTCCCAGAGGTCTCTGATTTTGTTTTCTTTTTCCTTTTAAAGGAAATAATAACAAAGAAATGAGAGGAAAACAAGAGTACAATCTTCAAAACAGATTTCTCTTTGGTGTAATGACATCAATGTGCAATGATGTAATGGGAAAATGTTTGGAGCCAATTTCTGGTGCCGGAGGCTCTACACATCAAGAGAAACTCTTAAGTACCTGAGATGTAATATGATCTCGGAGCTTCTGAAGGGAGTTAAAAGGAAGTGTTCAATCACATTTGGAAATGACTAGATAAAATCTGGAGTCCTAAATAACCAAGTAAGACCTCCTGCATTTTTCACTTATCAGCACATGCACATGGTGTATAGATCTCCTTAGATGTACTGGAAACAAAGAAATCAAGGTAACCTAGAGAAGTTTAGTTATTTTGATTTATTAATAGTTTCCTACAAGGTGCTCTTGACAATGAAAAGAGTGAGACTCAACCTAACCTTTTAAAATGGGGCAAATAAAAATTTCGGAAATAAAAATAACTATTAAAAAACTTTTGTTTTTTTTGAGTTGGAGTCTCGCTCTGTCGCCCAGACTGGAGTGCAGTGGCC